CATGTTCTGCAAAGCAGGTGAATTTCTTCTTGGCTGAAGCTAAAAGCTAAACCTAAATGTCACCTGAAATAGTAATATAAAATGAATAAAGAGGATGATGATTGTATATGTTAAATTTCAGTTCAATGCATTCTATGTGACTAAAAGTTGAAGCTCTAAAAAGCAATGAGTTATTTACAGAAGATGTTAAGGCACCAATCTAACAGCATGCTTGAGTACATGCTTACTTTAAGGATGTAAGTACAGGTGACGTGCCCAAAGATAAATATGTGCTTAAGAATTTTGCAGTACCGAAGGCCAAGTAGATTCCTCTGGCAGGGGCTATATCAAGCAGAGTTAGAGGAGGAAAATCCTTTTTTATTGCACTGTCCTTTCTACTGTCCCTCACACCAAGCCTGCTACCAAGCACAGACTGTGTTCAGCAGCACATAAGTAAACAACTAAATCTTTCTTCATCTTGTATAGCAAAACTAATTTCACAATAGAAATAATTTCTTTTTGATTGCTGATGTTTGGTTTCTTAGATTAGTGAGTTATTTTTGTTATTCTACTTTTTAAAACTGATTTGAGGTATAGCTGGATTTATTTTTCAAGGCAAAATGTTTGCCTTTCCCTGCTTGCCACATCCAGAGTAGGGCTTTCCAGATTTCCTCATCGGGAGAGTTTGATCCCCTTGGATCTAGTCTTGCACAGAAGTGCACTTACCAGCTCAAGTCAGAACAGGAATTTAAGAAGCTGTTTGTGTCAATGACCTGCCTTCATACTGTTCATAGACTTCCACACAGTGACCTTGCTTAGATGCATGGCTTGGAATCTCAGTAGTTTCTCAAAAGGACCAACTTGTGTCATCATGGGTTCCTGTAAGACAGATGGGGGGGATTTGGATGTGTGGGACATCTTGTTGTGGAGCACCTGGCTTGTCACAGAGCTCTCTTTTGGAGTGGCTCACACAGGACAGAGCCCTGCAGTGTGAGAGCCCCAGGCTGCAACCAGACTTGGTCAAAACTCTTCCTGAAACAGATGGAGATGCTGCTCTTGAGTTCAGGTGTCCCTGCTCCTTAACTGTGTGGGGAGAGGGGCATGGAAACTGTGGGATCCAGATCTCTGAGAGCAATCCACTTACAGCTTGTGGCTCGTATTTCTGGCCCTCGGCTGGGCTTTGTTTGCTGTAGGGTCAAGGAAAATCTCAAATCTGCATCTAAACTAAACATGCACTTTTTGTCTTAGTGTGATTTGAGGTGATAAAAACTGACTTTTGCAAGTTTAAAGCTAGGGAAAAGTAGGGAGCATTTATCAGCAAAATCCTTTGTAACACAAACCAATATTTAAACTCAGGCTCAATATTCAAAGCTGAGTGGCTCATCCCTTTCTAAGTGACACCAACACACAGGTAGGACTCATTTCCACACATTTCTGGGGGGAAGATAAAGCCCAGGAAGATTAAAAGATTCCGAGAAACTGTTAGCAAAGGTATTTATTTATGTTCTCTTTATCTTACACATTTAGGACCCTCTTTGGAGATAACTAAAGTGTCATTTCTGTTCCTGGCTTCTTCTCAGTGTATAGGAACACGCAGGTGGGTCAGGGTGGCAGGTGTGCCCTGTGAAATCCTTGGGGTAGCTGTAGCTTTACCTGGGGTATCTATACATATTCCATTGAGTATGGAGCTTCAGAAGAGCTAGAAGTACCAAATTCATACCCTAGATGTCAGTAAAAGAAAAAAACATTAAAACCCATTAAAAATCATTTTATGAAAGTCTGTGAATCAAGCAATGGGTTAGCCAATTATTTATAAGATAATTCCCTATATGGACTGACAGTTGGAGTCCCAAGTTTCAGCTCAATCAAATTTACACAGCCCAAGTTATAACCTCTTCAAGATGGGGATTGTAACACAGACCATAACTACTGTGCCTCTTTAGTAACAAAAGCTCAGCTACCTCACTTGTGCAGTGGCTGCTGGTGCTGCAATAATTAAGACTGTATGGATTTGCATTTTAGGTCAAGTTCTGGGAGGTTTTAAATGCACATAGTTTAACTCATGTTGGCTTGAAATGTAGCATAGAAATGCTCAGGGGCAGGTCACATGTTTACTTATAAAAAGACATATAAATAGTAAACCTCCAATATGACAACTAAGTAAGTAGTGCAAACTACACCCAGTTTGGCTGAAATCAAACATCTGATTAAAAATGGGATTTTTAGTAATGCCTTCCTCTACCTGCCCACACACAAGCAAAACTCTTTGTGTGCTTCAAGGGAGGGTTTTTGTCACTTTAAAATCTGTTCCCTGAGCACTTTGTGCCATTTATTTTATAGTGATCCCCAGAAAGCACAGTCAAGGTTCAGGGCTCCGTCGTGCTAGGTGCTGTGCAAGCAGAGGCAGGCTGAAATCCCAGGCCTCACTGAATAACCCATGGAAAAAAAAGTCTCCCCAAGTTCAGGGTTTTATTCCAGGTCCTGCCTAGGGCGAGCCGATAACGAAATCTTTCTGTCACCTGGCGCTCAGATGTCTGTGATCCTGCACGGACTCGCTGCTGTGTGTGCTGTGCCTGCTAGTAAGAGCTTGCAAAATCAGAGTTTATTTTGAGCCTTTATTAAAAAGGGAAAAAAAAAAAAGAAAAAGGAAAAAAGGCAAAGTAGCTCACCCAAGTTTCTCCTGCAGGAATACTAATGCACATACTATTTCTAGAACGTGCAAGTCCTCTGCTCATTCACGGGAGTCAGCCTGGTGTGATAAGAGTTCCACCCACGTTGCCTCTGCCTGATTGAGGCTATCAAGACTGTGTCGGAAAGCACCCCATGCGATCTGCCGTTATATAATGCAGCCCGTCTCCGGGGAACTGGCAGAGTTTTGGAATTTGTGTTTGGTCCTAATGTTCTGTAATGTTGGCAAGTGAGATTTCTGCTCAGAGTGAATGACAGCTGGAGCTTCGAAGCAGGAACATTTGCCCACCAAAGTTGCTGAACTCACCCACTGCCAAGTCTGTCACTAAAGTAGCAGATAGGTAGGGACAGCAGTACATGGCATGAACTGTGCCATGCTCCTTTGCACCTTCAGGTCCCAGCCCTGGGTGCCTGCCTGTGAGATGGAGGAAGGCCACACTTCTCAATGTTAGTTTTATGTCCCTTTCTACAGCAACCTCTAAGAATCTCAGGTGCTTGAATGTAGGGAGGACAATGCTGTTTCTCAGGCAGAGAGCTGAGGTGTGAGGAAAGGGACAGATACATTTTGGCAGATTTAAATCTTAAGACTGATTTTTACAGCATGAATATTCTCACCTGGGCACTCTGTCCTGCTGCTGCAGGTTACTGCCATTGCTGTGGGACAGGGATGGGTGCCCACCTCTGGTCTCAGCTGTTCCAGGGCATGAGCTGGTGTCTCAGGACTCTGGTTCACATGGGACAGCCTGAGGCAGGATGGGCACTCAGCTAATGAGAGACCCTTCTCTAAGGTTAGCTTCCCCTTGGAGACAGCCTGAAACCCACCATGGCTCTGATTTCAGTGTGTACCTCAGAATTTGCTGAGGTGTAGAGCCACATTTCCTCCAGCTGACTTTGTTCTGGGGCTAGGAGTCCGCAGCCAAGGAGCAGCTGATAACATGACCAGGGTGACAGCAGTCCAAACACTGCAGCATGACCACAAGGCATCCCCTGCAGCTTGGACAAAGAAGGGCTGTGGAGGAGCAGGAGGTGACACAAGTTTGTGTCAATGCACAGAACAGTATCACTGGGTCATTTTCTTTGCTGGCCTGGGTTTGTTTTCACCTGCCCTTCCAATCTGCCAGTGTTTCTAGGTGTTAGCAGTCAGCATTTGGGCATTTTTCACTGTGTTCACTTGCCACTTGCCACTTGCAGTGGGTTTGTTAGTACAACCCAGCAAGGGAACGCCAGAGTGCAGGACGTACAGAGAGGGCTGGAGATACCCGATGTGTCACAGAGGTGCTGGGAGGGTGGAAGCAGAGATGCAGGAGGTGCAGCCTGTGGGGTGCAGTGGGACAGCGGTGGGGTGCGTCGCCCTTGTGCCACAGCTCTCCTGGGGCGCTCCTAGCCCCAGCTGTGCCCTCTGGCCCTGTTTCTGCCGCCAGAGCCGGGGCCAGCTCGGAGGCAGCTCAGCCCCCTGCCCCCGGACGCGCCGGGGCTGACCCTGCTGCCATCACCAGCCTCTCCGGCAGCGCCGGGGGCCATCCGACCCCCTTTCCGCGGGGTATCCGAGCGCAGGACACTGGCGGGGGCGGGGGCCGTGTCTCGCGGGGGCTCAGCCCGGTCCTGCGGCCGGGGGCGGCCCCGCATCCCTCCCCATAGCGCCCGGCGCTGGGCTATAGCAAACTCCCTGGCAAGAGCTGTTTGTTGACCACATTCACGTTCAGAGCCCTGAAGCTAAAAGCACTTTACACCATAAAATAAAAGCACTGTCTTTTTTTCTAAAAGGTTACGTCTGGAGGCCACGCTGCTCATACTTCATACAGAAAACTACTGAAAGGGCTATGAAATCCTCTATGATTTACACTCCCTCTCAGTGCATTAGGATATAGATCTACTCGACTCTAAAAATACTGTGGAGTTTCTAACCGATGTGAATATATGTGCATTATTTCAGAAAGTCTGTTAGAAAACTTGTCAACACATTATAAAGCATAAACCAGGACTTGGCCATTAAATACAGAGATCAGAGACAAAATGTATACGGCAGGAAGTACCGAGAAAAGTCCCTCCATTCAAAAAAAAGTATATTAGCTAAAAGTTTACACACTATACACACCAAAAGGTTTAGAGCGAGACCATGGACCGCAATTACAAGGCATAAATGGAATCAGTAGGGGCTTTACAGTCCCCAGCACAGTTAACTCGGCTGCCAGAAAATAATTTTAATATTGTCATAATTTATTACCCACCGAAAGCCACATCAAGGATTGTAAATACAGTCACTTTGTGTCCATGACTGCTCGTTAAACAGCCTCGTTCCCTTCCCCTAAAAATACAATGAAATAAAAACCCACCTGCATTATTAATCTGCGGTCATGCCGTGTTAAAAATGTCTTCTCACTCCTTTTCTTTCTTTAGGTTTGTTATCTCCCTCCAATCACATGACAATGCGAAGCGCTGTGGGGTGGGGGGGGGGTACAGGAACGAGGGGGAGCCAGCGCTATTGCGATCAAATGCTAATATTAATAATTATCCAGCCGAGATGAAATATTATTTTTAAGGCAGCGAGTTTCCATTTAAATCGAGGCATTTTTTACGGTGCTGGAATTAAGGGCATGCTGATGGTAAGAACATCCTCGCTGCTATTCATGAAAGCATCTGTAAAATTAGCTCCTGACTGGAGGTTTTGAGATGCGGTCTGGGAAGTCACCTCTGGAATCTCAAACACGGTACGATAATGAAACAGATTTAGTTGTCACCAAGTCCTTAATTTGCTATGATTTTTAAAAAAGAAAATCAATGAAACGATGCCTGTGATTTGGAATAAGCACAGATAGGTGTTCTGATGCAGGTTGGCTTTAGAGAGCGTAATGAATTGTAATTCAGAGGAGTGTTAACTGCGAACCGCAGAACCTTTCAGGGGTAATAAAGTCATTACTTTTTACATTGCAGCCACCTTCAAAAGCTTTATACGTGCCATTAGATATAAATCAAGTCCCATATATATATATCTACATCTCCGGTACAGACACCCACACGCCCGTGTTTCGCGCAGGGACATGTGCACGCCTGGCACAGCCAGCCCTGCGAGCGGCGTGAGCTCAGGAGCCGCCGCTGTTGTCACCTGCGGTTGGGTCCTTCCGCCACGTCCCGCATCCGCTCCCGCACCCTGGCCCGGCAGCCGCGGAGAGCATCCCCGTGCCGGTGGATAAAGGAGGGGAGCGGGAGCCAAGGGGGGAGGGGGGGGCTGAGCGGCGACGGGCGGAGCCGGGGGGCGGCTGGCGGGAAGCTGAAAACATCCCACGGCGGAGCGGCTCGGCCCCGGCCCCTGACAGCTCCGCCGGTGCGCGCTCGGGCTCGCCCGCCAACAGGTCTCCGCCGAACTCCGGCCCCCGCCGCCCCCTCGCTCCCCCGGCCGGCCGCAGCTCTGCCTGGCGAAGTGTCCCTTACGGCGGCGGGCAGCTCCTCGCCCCGCCGGGCTCTCGCCCGGCGTTCCTCTCCGCTGTCCGCCGCCGTCCCAGGCACGGTTAGCCCTTCGCACTCCCCTCCACAGCCGTACTTTGCTCCGCACACCCGTTCGCCTCCAGAGCTTATTTCTACCGCAACCTGATCCCTCCCGGTGCCGGCAGCATCCGCCTCGCTCCGAGTCCTTTCGGCGAAGTTGCAGCCGCTGCCGCCGCATCCTCCCAACTCCAGCCACTTCTCGGTGCCTCCTGCCGCCTCGCTTCCCCCCCTCTCCCGCCCTCCCCCGTTGCCAGCCCGCTGCCCGCGCCGCCCCGCCGCCAGCAGCCCCACGTTTCGCTCTCGTTCAGAGCCCGTGGCTGCGGGCAGGGCTCGGAGCGCTGCCGGGGGAGGAAGGGGGACTCCGGGGTTGGCGGGCGCGAGCAGCCCGCGGGGAAAGCCGCGAGGTCCCGCCGCCCTCCGCTTCCCCCGCGCCCAGCTCCTGCGGCTTCTCCTCCCCTGCCTGCCGCTTCCTCGCCCGCCAAACTCCGCTCTCTGCTCCCCCGCCCGCCCCGGGGCAAGGGCCGCCGCTGGCCGCCGAAGTTCCCCGCGGCCCGGCCCGAGGCCCCGCTGCCCCCCAGCTCCCCGCGGGGCCGCCGCCGCCGCCGTCCCCCGGGGACGGGCCGCAGCTCCCGGGAGGAGGGGACTCGGCAGCTTCGAGGAGGATGGGGGGGAGGGGGGGGCGAGCGGGGAAGCCGGGAGCCGGATGCCCCCCTCCCCCCCGTTGCTTTTTGGGTGGTCTCCGGTCCTACCTGGCTTCCCCCAGCTCCCCCACCTCCTCGGCACAGCCCGCGGCCAGCCTGCCCCGCAGCCCTCTCTGCCCGGCTCTGGCTTCACCGATGTGTTTGCTTTTCCAGCGGGGGTGTGCGTGCGAGAGCTGCCGCTGCCTGCCTGCCTGCTCGCTTTCTCCCGCTCCTTTTCCTCCCCTCTCCCCGTGTGTGTGTTTAATTTCCGCCCCTCGCCCCTCTCCCGGGTCCCCTCTTGCACCCGCTCCTCCGCGGCCACTCGCAGCTCCGGCCGCCGCCCCCTCCGCCCCCGGCCCCTCAGCTCCATTCGGCAGCGTGCGCCGGGCGGCCGGTGCACCCCACCCCCGCCGCGCCCCCTCCCCTCTCCCCCCTGCGATCACTGTCCATTGGCTTGTCCTGCTCTCTTTTTCATGTCCAGCCCCTGATGAGTGTCCATTGGTGTTGCCTTCGCCTTCCCTCCTCCCCTCTCCCCGGCTTGCCCTGCCCATGTTTTGTATGTCTCTGTCCATCCAGGCTCCTGACGTTCAAGTTCGCAGGGACGTCACGTCCGCACTTGAACTTGCAGCTCAGGGGGGCTTTTGCCATTTTTTTCATCTCTCTCTCTCCTTCTCTCTCTCCCTCTCTCTCTCCCCCTCTCCCTCTCTCTCTTTTTTTTCCTTGCACAAAAAAAAAAAAAAAAAAAAAAAGAGCCATGACTGCTATCCCACAATTCATCTTCCCTGCGCCATCTTTGTATTATTTCTAATTTATTTTGGATGTCAAAAGACATTGATGAAGATATTTTCTCTGGAGTCTCCTTCCTCTCTAACCCGTCTCTCCCGATGTGAACCGAGCGACTCACAAGCCACCGAAGCCACCAACCCACCATGTCGCGCCGCAAGCAAGGCAAACCCCAGCACTTAAGCAAACGGGAATTTTCACGTAAGTAACCCGGAGAGCAATTTATTTAATTTACTCTTCACGGATTTAATTTTTAATTCGAGAGAGAGTAGGGAAAAAAAAAATTAAAAGTGAGAGCGAGTGAGCGAGTCGGGGAAAAAATTAACTCAGCGCCGGCTCGGGATTCTCAGCATTCCGGGCAATTTCTGCCTCTCTAATTTAATCACCTTGATGACTTTTCTTCTCTTTCTGCCCGTGCCTCTCGCCCGCCGGCGCGCACTCCGCTGACCCGCTCCACGCTCGCCTCTCGCCTCCCGCTCTCCGCGCTCTTTGGCGGCAAGAGCGGCAGCTCTCGCCCGGCACCAGGAAAGGCGCGGGCGAGGTGCGGGGCTGCCGGGGGCACAACCGGCCGAAAGTGGGAAGAAATTCCTGCGGGAGCGGCGGGCTGGACACCGGACACTGCGGTGGCCGGGCGGGCGGGATGGGCGGGCGAGCGGAGCGCGGAGAAAGTCCGGCGGCCGGAGCCCCCCGGGCTGCCGGCGGGCTCGCCCCCTCGCCCCGCGGCTCCCTCCCGGGGGGGGGGGGCGTGGGGGGGGGCAAAGCCCAGCCAAGCCGGGCCGCCTTCCTTTTGTTTCCGCCGCGGGGTGCGGGGTGGCCGTCCCGCCGCTCCCCTCCGCCCCGGGCCGGCGTCGTGCGGGGCTCCGCCGCCCCGACCTCGCCCCGCGCCCGCCCCGCCGCCGCTCCGGCTGGGGTTGGGGCGGGGGACGGCACCGGGCGGCGAGGGAGCCGAGCCGAGCCGCGCCGCGCCGGCTGGGATTCCCTCCTCGCCCTCGCCTCGCGTTCTCCCGCTCGCTTACTATTTTTTGGAAGATTTTCAAAAAAAAAAAAAAAAAAAAAAGTGGAAGTGGATTTTGATTGGGAAAAATCTCGTGTCTGAATGTTTACAAGCACCGCGTGTGCGGGGAGCCTCCTGCCAACAAACACAGGCGAGAGCGAGCCCGGGCTGAGCACACACGCGCGCTCACACGCATACACACACACTCGCACCCTCACACCCGCGAACGGCCCTTTCTCGCCGCCGCATTTCAACCCCAAACCAAATGCGCTCTCCCCGGGAGAGAAAAAACAAACCCCGAGCCCCACCACACCGTTCGCAACAAAAACTCTCCGGCTCCCTCCGTCCCTCCCTCCAGCCGCCACCACACACACCAGGGCTAGATGCAAGATAAGCGGGAGCGCTCTTTGCACAACAAAAGGCAACTCGAGCTGGAAAGGTTTGGGGCTAGGGGGGTGGGAAGGAAGGGAGAAAAAAAAAATCCTCTTTTCCTCGGGGTGAACCTGGGGGAAGGGGAAATGCTGCATGCTTATCCTCACTCCTTTCCTCCCCTTTTCTTTATTTCTTCCTTTCTCCCTCTCCCATTAGTCCCGACGGGTTTTGTTCCCTCCCAGGGATGGCAGAAAACTCAGGGCCATTTCTTCCTGCCAACCATCCCCGGCTCCTTCGGCCCTGCGCAAAGCCCCCCAAACTTTCCGCCGCGGTTTCTCTTCCCCCACGGCCGCCCAAACATTGCAGTCAGGTTCGCACATGGAGGGAAGGAAGCAGCGCTGGCTCTTTGCAGGCGGCCGCTCCGCCGCGGGCAGGGCCGGCCAGGGGCTCTTCGTGCCCAAAGTTTGCCCTAAAACCCGGGGGTGTCGGGGGCTCAGCCCCTCCCCCCGCCGTCTCTTTCCCCCGATACTTTTCGGAGAGCCTTTTTTTTTCCCTCTTTTTAATTTTTTTCATTGCCGGGCTTGGGATGGGGTGCAGCATCGCTGGCATATGGGCATGCCCCCCCACCCCCGGAAATGGGGTACGGGGGTGATTTTCCCGGGCAGCCGTGGAAGTGGGATGCGGGGAACGGGGGATCGCGGCGGGACCGGAGGAGGGGGTGGGGGGCTCCGGCTCGGTCCCCGGGGCTGCGGCGACGGGCGAGATCCCCGCGGCCGATTCTGACCGCCGACAGACCCGGGGGCCGGCGCGGAGTGCGCGCACGTGCGGGCCGGGAGCGGCGGCCGGGACAGGCCCGGGGGGTTCCTCCGGCGAGAGCCGCCCCGGCGATGGGGAGGGGGGTGTGGGTGGGCCGGGAGCTGGTGGGGGAAAGGGAGGCCGGGCCGGGGGAGCGGCGCGCCGGGGATGCGGCGCCGGGGCCGGGGCCGGGGCCGGGGCGGCGGAGGCGGCGGGCGGGATCCGTGCCCGCTTCGGTCGCTAGGAGGCACAGCGAGATCAAACAACCGGGCAGCCCCGCGAACTTGAACCTGGCCGGCTTCTCCGCTGCCTCTCGGCCGGCGGGAGGGGGAGGGCCCCCAGCTCCCTCCCATCCACCACCCCCCCCCCCCGCCCCCCTTCCCTCTTCTTTGTTCTTAATTTGCGCGGAGTTTGCTTGCTCCGGGAGGCAGCGGGGGATGCTCGCCTTCCCCCTCCCCGGGTTTCCCCTCCCTCCCCATAACGTGTTGGCGGTTCCCATTGTACCCCCAAGTCTCCCTTTCCTCGCACCGCTGTGATCCGAAGATACAAACTTGGGATTAAACAGCCCTTCTCCATCCATCCCACGGTACGGTGCAGGAAAATGCCCCAGCAGCGCATCTGCATTGCTCCGCGGGCATTTCTCCTCACCGTACTGTGGCACCCCCCTCCTCGCCCCATCACCCCCAGTACCTCCTTTCTCCCGGTACTCCAAAATCCATCCCTCTTTTGCCGGTGCGGTTGTTCTGGTGGCTGGGAACGGGGAAAAAGGGGGGAGTAGGAGGGCGAAGGGGGAAAGCTGAAAAGACATGTTGTTGGAAGGGCAATTTGCATGAAAAATAGAGACGGATGATTAGGGACCCAGGCAGAGAATTTTGATTGCCCCAGAATTAAAAGATGCATCCTGCAAATTGGAGGCAAAACCGGGTGAAATCTGGTGTTTTCTTTGTAATCCCGGTATTTTATATTATGTTCTAAAAGTAGCAGTAATAATAAAAAGCAGGTTTTTTTTCTGGCTCTGCCTCCATCGGGAGCCAAATGTTTTGCAGCGAACACAGTGCCAGCCGTATTTCATACATTCGTATATAATTCTTGTTAATTAGCAATAATTTACGTTAAGAGCATAGAAAATGTTGAGGTTACAGGTTTTATATCTGTACATTTGATCATCTTGTTATTTTCAAGAACTTTGCCTCCTATAAAATTAATTAGGTGAAATGTGGAGGTGTAATCAGCAACCTCTGAATTACCACTTCATTTCCTGGTTTTGATTGTAAATCAGCCCAGTCCGTACAGACTTTTAGCAAAGTCTGTTTTTTCGCTCAGTGCCACTTTTAACTGTCTGGTGTCGAAGCAGCGGGTTACCTTCCCCTGCTAAATAATAATGACAGCGTCAGAAAGAAATCAGGCCGCGGGAAAACATTATAATTGAGTAATGATTATGCAGAGCTCCTCACTAAAGCCACTTGCAAGGAGAGCACGGGTGGTTTTGTGTCGTTTTGCTGTGGAGAGTCAGTGAGCTCGAAGTTAGATTCGCAAAATACCTTTGTCTGTGGCGAGCAGCGAGCTACCGGCGGAATTAGACCTGAAATAATTTATTCCCTCGGTCCGAACGCAAGGAACGGCTTGGGGAGAAAAACGCCATGCCCGGCAATCCCGCAGAAACACCCTGCTCCTCTGCCCGCTTCCCGAGGAGCGTTGTGCCTCCTCTCCTGTCGGTCTGTAAGTTTAGAATAAAGCCCTAGCGATTAAGACATTGTTTTTATTAATACAAATGTAACCTTCATATTCCTGTGGTTGACCTTACGTTAAATTAGAAGTAGTACTAGAGGCAAGAAATGATGGACTGGATCCCTGTGTCCTAGTTGGAGCTGAGGTTTGGTGAGGTAGTGTAGTGTGCTCTTCCAGTATTATTTTACACAGCACAACTGGGAGCTACTCCAGATCTTCCTCCTCAATATTCAGCCTAGGTAGGGTTGAAATAAATTTAACCTGAGTTCACTGGATTTTTGCACTTTATCAAAATCAGTTCCAATATTGTGCAGTCAAATTAAAATCTATTTTTTGATTCTCTGTGGCTTTAAGTTCATTAAATGTGAAACTGGCAGCCAGCTAAAGAAGGTCAGGCTGATTAACTGTTTAGGACTTGTATTCTGTCTCACTTGCGTTACCTGGCAGCGTTTTGAGGTGGGTTGTATTTGTAGTACCCTCTCCTCCTGCTCGCTGCTGCTAGCGTGCGTGTTGTGTTGTGCAGACAGAGGAACACCAACATGCTGCTCGTATTTATTTTTTTTTCCCATCGTGAAAGGCGATGGCGATGGAGACTGAACAGAGATTGCCAAGGTATTTCTCTGCAAATGTAATGTGTAAAAAAAAAAAAAAAAAAAGCCAACAGAAAAGAGAGCAGAGTCTGCCTTGTTAAAGCATCCACTGACGATTCTGTGAGCAGAAATAGCCTCATAATGAAGCTTTTCGGAGCTCATTCAGAAAATTTGTCAACTTTGACAACATTAGGCAAGGTATTTTGAGTTTAAAGAAGGCGCTTCTTACTGTTGCGAGGAAATGTGGCAGTTGCTTGGCCAGGCTGATTTTTAGATGCTGAAGGCCATGGGTGCTAACATGTGCAAGATAATTTAGGTATTCCCTTATTTCAGGATTAAAAAACGCAAAATGACTGATTGCCTTATTTCCTTAAGTACTAAAAAATACCCCATCCAGCTAATATCTCCGAGTGGTCTTGGTGGTGAATTTACTGTATATTTGGATCCTGAGGAGTAGCTCAAAAGTGAGCGGTGCCTCCCCTCACCCCGCAGGCATTTCTGCTGCACTTGCTTTTTATCATTTTGGTTTTCTGCCATAGATACTTATTTATTTATTTGCCTCATACCCTCCTCCTTCCTCCCCCCTCCCCCCCCACTTCGTGTATAACTACTGCCTTTAGGATTTTTTTAAATAGGAAGCTGCAAACGGGCTGATGGGGACAGTGACACAAATCCATGTGTTTATGTCTGCACGTGTGTTCTGAGGGCTGGATGTGCCCTGTGTGTCGGTGCCTGTGTGTGCCCATGCAGGCTGGCCCTTCTCTTTTACACACATGCACACGTTACCTGCATGGCCTATACAGGGAATGTGCAGTGTCTGTGTGTGTTGAAGTGCTTTTTGTCTACACTGTATTTCTGAAATTTAGAAACTGGGTCTTGTCTGGCTGGTGGAGGATACACACACATGTGTGTGAGAGTGTCTGCAGTGCTTTTAGCCTTGAATTCATGTACATAAATAATACATTCAGCAATAAAACATCATATTCCCTTCTTGTTGTAGTACCACAAGAGTTTTGCAGTGTATTATTTCAGCCTATCCATTTAATTTTAGCACCAAATCGTTCAAGGAGTCAGAAATGTGCCCTTGTGTAGGAACACGGAGACAGTTGCGGTGCTCTCCCTCCGAGTTATACATGCTACAGCTGCTCCTGCAAAATCTCTTCCCTGTAACTGTTGAATCCCTGTCCTCGGTGCCGTGTTGACTGCCGTGTTGCATGGGTTTGCTTGGGGGGGAGCAGGCGGACTCCAGAGCGGGGTGTAATATTCATGAAGAGGCGGCTCGGCGCGTTCCTCCCCCCATGCCCACTGCCTTTCCCAAGCGCTCTAACCATTCTCCTTTTGTTTCTCAAACTGCAGCCGAACCTCTTGAAGCCATTCTCACTGATGACGAACCTGAACATGGCACATTGGGAGCTCCGGAAGGGGACCACGACCTCCTCACTTGTGGCCAGTGTCAGATGAACTTTCCGTTGGGGGACATTCTTATTTTTATTGAGCACAAACGGAAACAATGCAATGGCAGTCTCTGCCTAGAGAAGGCTGTGGATAAGCCACCTTCACCCTCACCAAGTGAGCTGAAAAAAGCATCCAATCCCGTGGAGGTTGGCATCCAGGTTACGCCAGAGGATGACGATTGTTTATCAACGTCATCTAGAGGAATTTGCCCTAAACAGGAACATATAGCAGGTAAATTAAAGCAAGGAGAAGTGTGTGCGAGTTTATTTCTGTTTCAGTTGCAATGTAGCATGTTGGCAGTCGTGCGCTGCCGTGTTAGTGTGTTCTGCTCGCTGTGCAGGCCGGCGTGTCCATGCCCTCCCTGCCTCGGATTAGTGGTATTTCCTGGTGCCTGCGCAGTGGCAGGAGCAACAGGCACGTGCCGTGCCAGCCGGTGTTTCTGGCCGTATTGTTTGAGGCCACTCTCATGATTTGCCTGCATTGTAGTCACCGTCTCCCGGTGTCTCGCCTGCCAGAGCGCTGCGGGAGGAGGCTACCGAGGCTGCTGCGTGAGAAAGCGAGGAGCTTTTGAGTCTTTGGCAAAGTCAGGGGTGAAAGAGTTAACTGAGCATCCGCCAGCCTTGGTTCCATATTGGCTGTCAGCGTATGGACTGTAATTAAACACAGCCCCATGGCAAAGTGACACCACCGACCTTGACTTTAAGATGCCATTTTCGACTGGCCAGGCCAGAGTAGAGAGGGCAGTTGCTGAAGCGCACAGACATGCTTATTCGAAAAGTTTAAGGGCATGTTGGAAATTTCAAAAGGTTGGTTTGACAGGAAAGGCTGCTCTCTGCAGCCTGCCTCTTCAGCCAAATGATAAATGCTTCGCTGTGCTCTCTCTTGTCTCTGATGTGGTTTTGACAGATGTATCTTGATTTTGTTTGCGGTTTACACAACCACATGTCAGCCATACAAATGTCCAAGGCAGAGTTCTGTTTTGTGCAACAAAAAATATGAAATGTAATTTAAAAAAAGAAAAAAGGGTAAAGAACTCGATTTCATACCATAATTTTTTTTTCTTTTAATAAAATCAGAAAGCCATTGGCCATGCAGGTATTTTCACAAATGAGGTTAAAAAAATAAAAGTGTACCATGTGAAAGAAAATCCCAGAGCCCTGGGAGTGTAACAAGGCACACTCTGCTTTTAAAACACTACTAGTAAACAAAAGTACTGCCCATTTGCAGTGAGCATTTCAGATCACTTCAAACCATGCCAATACTGACAGTTGAAAAAGGCGAGACTGCAGCCTATCAACCCCAATGAATGCCTGAACCAGTTTCAAACTCCCCCTCCGATGATGTTTGGGATATAGCACTGCCGGTATCTCTCTTCGGGGAGCCCACAGGACTGCTTGGAGTTGTCAGAGGCACAGTACATCATCACGTGATGTGCTGGAGCTTGTCTTGGGCTTGCTTTGGCCACAAAGTTAAACCATAATAGGGCAGTAGGCGCTGGGAGGTGCAGCAGAATCCTCCCGCAGCCTTCCCTGGCCTCTGAGACGGCCGCCAAACTGTGCTGGAGAGCTGCAGTTTGGAGGTTTTGTGGTGGCAGCAGATCCGTATTGGTGCATGGGTGTCTGTCTGCGCACGTGTCTGTGTGCAGAGCCATGTGCGTGTACACGCAGATGCCATGTGAACAAGTGTGTGCTGTTTCTGCAGGGTAAGTGGTCTTTCCTTGGAATCTGAATATCTCTACATTTAAGAGGAAACACAGGCTCAGGTAGTGCTAAGCTATATTTTGAATGAGACTTAAACCTCATCAAGAATTCCCCATATAGCAGTTCCCAGACACGGATGTTAATGGTATGGTTTCTTTCCCAGAGTGGTAGAGGGCAGTGCCCATTTCCATGTGCTGCCTGCGATCTGACGGAAAGCGAACAGAAGTGTAGGGCGTGATTAATGAAGCAGGAGCCTAGCGGAAGGGATTTGTAGTCTTCCAAGCTCTGGAGCCATACTAAATCACCAAATATGGAGGAGCGGTGGTATGATGTAATGCTATATTTACATACGGCGCCGCTCCGCTCAAAAGACAAAACACAGTATCTGTCAAGCAAGAATTAAACATGCTGTCGTGCCCATGGACCCAGATCGGTCCCTGGGCTGGAGGGATGGCCACGCTGAGGAGTCTGCACAAGGGGAACCTTTTCTGCTGAGGGTTTTGCTCTGGCACTTTCTTGGTGCAGGAGGCTCAGTGAGCCAAGTCTGGCTTTGGCGTGGTGCAGGTGATGTGAAGCGAGGAGGATTTGGGCTCCTGCACTGTCACGGGGCCGTTAATTCAGAAAGGGCTGTGGTTTTACCTGCCTGTAAATCCTTCGCTGAGCAGAGGTGGTGGCTGAGGACAGGGGCACAGTGGCAGGGCCTGATCTTGCTCATTTGTACACATAAGTGGGCTTGACTGGGAGCAGGTTTGGTGCTGTGCAGCAGGGTCCACAGAGCGAGCCATGAGTGGCTCCTGAAAGATGGAGTTGTGGTTGTCAGGACTCTGCTGCCCCAAGGTTTCTGGCTGTGGTGCCCAGCCATGCCTATACAGATGGGAGGTCCAAGAATGCAGGTTCTCTGCACCTCCCTGGCTGGGCTGCAGCTGAGTAATGCTGGGGTCCCTTGGCTCTTCCTGTTGGTTGGAAATGCAGCCTGGCTTTGGGAAAGGGAGAAGGTGTACCAGGAATTACCAGTGCACTGTTCCTCCCCTTGTTCTCATCTCTCTTTTCATCTGGATGCAGTTGGAGTTCAGCTTCCTTATGTCACAAAGAAGTGATAGCTGGAGTGACCCGTTGCTCGTAGTAGTTTGAGGAGTCCTGCAGTAAAATTTCCAGTGAAGGTCTTGGAGCCTGAACTGTGAAGTTCAGGCTTCAGGAAGGCCCGTACAAAGAACCTCAAACTCTTCCAGTCCAGCTATTTATATCTGATTTCTGTGCAAGAATACAAAATGCAAGTTTTGAGTGTGTAATTAAGGGGAAAAAAAGCCCAGAAGGTGCCTTTGGAAAATACACAGAAGTTGGGGAAGTGATTATTTCTGCTAAAAGACCATAAAATACATATTTTGTAGCAATATAAAAATGTTCCAGATTAGTTTTGAGGATGGAAGAGGTGTTCCAGGTTAAGCCTGGATACAGAGGTGCTGTGGGTGAGCTCCGGGTGCAATTTTTTTCTTGCCTGCAGTTTTCTAGTCAGTAAATTGGGTTGTTACGGTAAAAGAGAATTGTAAGTAATCGTTAAAGATCTACGGAAGAGGAAGGAGGCAGCGACTCATTCAAATGCAGGGAGAAGTGTCTGTTTTAACTGTCCTTAAGCTGCTCTTTATCTTGCCATTTTCCAGAGTCAGGGATGAGGACAGGAGCTTATGTGCGTGTGCAACCTGTGCAGCAGCTGTGGGATCCATACAGGTGCAGGCATGTGTCCATACCTGGCTCTTCCATGTAGGTGTCTGCCTGTGCAGTGCAGCTCTGCCTTGCTGAAATGCCATAAATTTAACAGAAAATTAATAGGATATGTTGTGTAGGTCCAACGAGGCAGCTTTCATCAATATGTATGTCAAAGCCTCGCCACCAGATACCGGCAGCCCGTGATTTGCAGTGAGGGCGACGGCAGGGCTTTAGTTATCCACTCTCGTATTTTACAATAGGGGAAATATTAACTGAAGTATCTGGAGATCAGTGAATGTAAAATCGCTCTTCACTTATTGAAAAGGCTGAGGAAATATTTATCGCCTGTCCGTGTCAGGTTTTGGTGTTTTTTTTTGTTGGATGTATGAATCCGAGGGAATTAATGAAAGGTTGGGGTTGGGGTGAAGAAGGATCTTAAATGTTACTTGGATGCAGTTGGGGGAACACTTTGGAGTGCTGCTTCAAATTCCCCTGTATAATGCCGAGTGTGGATCTGTGGATGCTCTATTTACTGTACAAACAGGGGAGGAGGAGGGGAGGTCATTTTTACTGCTCAAATCCTATATTCTCAAGCTGCTTATGACATTCAAATTAAACACGTGGGAAAATAATGTAAGAAATCCTCTCTCTGCTGCAGTCGGGGAAGGTGAACGTTATTTGGTACTAAATTTGAGACTGAGTATTATTTGATTATTACAGTTCATGGGAAGTAATGTCTTAAAGCAGAAATTTTTTTGGGCTGTTGTTAGTAGTTGCCATTATAATTTTGAAGGTTGTGACTGTCGATTCCTTGTTTTGTTTTGTTCTGGAGACAAAAAAATACTGCTGTCTGCACTGAATAGTTAGCATTTAATCTGGACAATAAGATGAAAGCTTAAAAATAAAGGAGGGGAAGAAGGAATATGAGAAGATTTTGAAGTCAAGTTCTGGCTGCTTTCCCCATACAAAGAAGGAGAGAGAGCAGGCTGGGTAAAATATTGCAGACAGGAAAAATTAGTGAGGGTGCTACCCAAAGGCTCCCACACCCGAGATTTGGAGCGCTGCGTACAAGCTGTATTTGTAAATAAGAGAGAGAAAGGTTGTGAACCGGCATCTTGGCTGTTTTGTCAAAGTACAATGTCAGAGAAACTCTTTCTAAGACAAATTGTAAATAGAAGTGTCACGATGATTGCATGATTGAGCTCTAGAAGTGTCTTGCAATTGTTGGCATTGTCAGAAGACTTTTGAAAGCTTAAATAAAGGCGGTGGCCTGTGCAGCTGTGAAATTTACTTTTCTGGGGGGGAAAATGTAAAAAATGTAGGGGATCAAAAAGTTGCTGTAATGCTGCTCATGTAGGGATACAGAGAAGAGTCAATAGTTTCCCTGCTTCCCCCGTTGCCTTTTATAAATAACATTTTTTGAAGAAGCAAGCACGTGACACCAATATCATCCTTTGTATGATGTAAAGATTGTGTTACTTTTCTTATTCCCTGCTGTTCCAGACAGTTAATGTAAAAATGACTATTTATTGGAAGCACAAATATGAGTTCACTCGAAGCACAGAAGCAGGGTATAAAGTTTTCCTCTGCCTCTGCCTTCCAGGGGAGCATCACAGTGTTGTGGTGCCCTGTGTATTTCTGCTGGGTTTTTTTTGTTTCCTGCAAATCAGATCTTCTGAGAGGATGAGAAACTTATTTTGTGTTCTTTCTCCTATTGCGTGGGGCACTGAATTGTGGAGCTGTCCATGAGCAGAGGATCACTGCATCCGAAATGCTGGTGGTTCAAGAGGCAGCCTGGCACTTGTTAAGCTCCATACAGATTTTGAA